CCCCCCCCCACACACACACACACACACACACAAAGAATCGTTGCTTTCCAGAAAGGATCAAGAGACAGGAGGTGCACAGGAGGTTGACAGTAAATAAAAATACACCAAAAACAGTATGAAACTGGGCTTCTTGTCCTGGGGTGGAAGTGATTATGTCATTAACACAAAGAAGGATCAATCAAGTCTACATTTTTGCTTGTGGACAAATCCTTTACACGGGAGGAAGGATTGATTTAATAAAAGCCGCTAGCTGCTAAATTGTTATATATAGGTGTGTTGCAGTCCTCGCTGCCTGTCAGTAACAGGTCTCAGTGTGAAAAGGTGCATATCAGTGGCTTGATTTAAAAAAAAGAAACAAAAAAAGCAGAGAGAGCAGTGGAATTTGACCAAAGCTGGATTTTTTTTTTTCTTTTTCTGTTGACCAGAAACCTATCGTCATGCTCGTTTTCCTGCATTACGTTCACTTAGTGGTTCTTTGGATTAGTTGTTAGCTTTAACCAAAATGCAATAGATGACACTGAATATATAGAAAACATAAAATATTAAAAATCCTCTCATCACATGAAGATGTTCAAAAAGTTAACGTTGTGATTTTGTTGATATATTATCAAGGTTCATATGGGACCAATTACAGTTGCAGAAGGTTCACTGCAAACTCCAAATATGTGCCACAGAAACTGATCCTACTTTTAACCAAAAAGCTTTCTCCAATTACACGAGCAGCAGACTTTCACTCAGAAAATGTGTATTTAGTGTAAAATGAACCATTTCATATTCACTGCTGTGTAGACTTTTATTTATACAAGTTGTTTAAATTATATAGTTTTTTTTCTTCTTTATTTGCCTGTGAAATGTTTCATTATTTCTTTGTCTCGTGTTGTGTCTGCTAAGTGAAATGCCACATTAGTGTTCACTTACATAATAAAGTCTTTCTAAAACCACGTCCATGTAACTTGCCCCTGAAATATCACAGTGTAATAAAAATAGATGCATTCAGGGACCGAGAAGCGATCAAAAAACACGTCTCGTTTCATACTTACTGTGCACGCGTGACTATAAGCTGATGGTGAAAGTAATAAGTGAGCAGCAATAGCAGGAATCTGGCACAGGGTGTTTAGGATGAATCTCCACACGATGTGCCGGGGTGGGACGAGGACAGTTTTTATAAGGTCGCGCTGTGTCAGCGTACTCTTCCATCTCTGAGGGCAATAACGAATCAGTCGGTGGACGACCCGGGCAAAGAGACGTTTGGCTCTTGCTCATCTGCTCCATCTTGTTTAATTTGAAGCCATGTGTATTTTAATGTTTTGGTTTTTTTGTTATCTAAAAAGCTTTTTTGTAAAATGGCCCAATAATTTCAAACCGTAATGTCTGTTTATACTATATTTGTTTCATATGTTAATATAAAGTTTGACAATCGCCATCATTAAAGAGACATGACCATTAATGAATCAATGTTTCTGATCCAATAATCTAATGTATAAGATTTTGCATTAAACCTACATACATTTTGGGTACATGTAAAGTACATTTTGATCTTGATCTTCATGATATATATATATTTTTTTAAGTATTATGACGTTTAGTTAAGTGGAGGGTCTGAATACTTCTTTCACCACTTAAAAAATGATGATTCAGTACAAATAGACATTTCAGGCTCTTGTGTAGCATCACTTTTCATGTAATGTGGCTAGACATTCATTTACAAATGTACTCACTATTTTGCATGCCACTTTTCTGCACTGCTTTTTTTTTTTTTTTTTATCAAATATTCTGATTACCTGTTGGACCCCCTTGCCTTGTTCTTGATGCCTCTTTGTGCCAAAAAAGAAAAAACAGTCTTCAAAATCCCCCAACAGACTGACAGCACAAGGATGGTGTGTTTGATGTGAGAAAAATAACACGTCTGCAAAGTCAGATTTACTAGAGATGTTGCCACATAAATCATCAGGTTGTGTCAGTGAAACCTAAAACCTTCCAGGTGCTCTCAGTGACAGCAGCAAACATTTATGAGCAGACCTCTTAGAGGGGCGACCTCCCCTGCATTTTTGTGTTTCCACCGTGTGTAGTTACCAGTTTAATAACCTTTTCATTTGAAAATAAACCTCTCTTGATTCTGGTTACAAATCAAAAACAAAACGCAAATGTTAACCTTAAATCTTAAATGTGTGTACAGATAGATGAATAAAAATATGTCAGTACCCTTTACTCTGTTACTTTGTTTCACTCTGCTGCTATAAAAATGTCTTATTGCAGGACTGTATTAAATAAACATGGCAAGTCCTTGAAATAAAAACAAAATTGAAAAAATTGCCAAGTCATACCACAGACTGTAAACCCTGACTCGGGTGAAAGCTTCACAGAGGGTTATGAAAGAATCTGGAGAAAAGCACACAATATTACGAAGCTTCTCTCTCTACTACAGCCACGGGTGACCAAGTATGGAAACTTGGACCAAGGGATCTGTCCACCGACTGTTTACATTTCTCCCATTGTTTCTGCGTCATTGAGTAGCCAAGCATTCATTACCTGAACAGCTCCTGCTCTCTTCCTTTCAGCTGATTCGAGAAGTGGATGAGTACCAAGAAAAAGACGGAAGCAGTTAGTAAAGATAAAGGCAGTAAAACAATCGCTGGCTGTGGACCCTGCCCTGGTGTCTGCCCCGGTCCGGGAGCTTGGCGTTCTTCTCAGAATCTATTCTGCTGTTTGTAGCCTGTTTGACACACAAACACAAACAATCTCCCTCTAGTTTTCCATGAGCTGTCAAGCCTTAAGGGGATGTCAAAAATCAAAGGCAAAGCTCTGCCTTTAAACAACAGCCCAAAAAGGAACATATATTTTTCTATTACTTTGGGGAAATCTTTGTCAGATGTATTGAATCTGATAGCTTCAGGGGAAACCCAGAGACAAGAATATTCACCACAGAGGTTTGATGTGCTGTTCTTTGCTTTGTGGATGAATATTTTTGCATTACATACATTCCTCCAGTAGAGTTTGCTTATTAATAAAAAGTATTTCCATTAGTCTGCGGTGCTAAAAGTTAAAGGAATGACTGTATAAAAATCTGATCTACAAAAACAACAACCTTACCAGGTATTTAATCCCTTATTTGATGTTTAATATAGTGGCCCTACATTCCTCATCAAATCTGACTACCTTAAGACTTCCGAGGTGTTTTAGTGCTGCCATCTCCTGGTGAGATTTCCACACAAAACTTAAGCCAGTAACAAATTACACTAGTAAAAACAGCATCAGTCATGTTATAGCTTTATTAGTTTCGTTTGTCCTCTATATTGTTACTGTGACTAAAAAAAAATCTGTACTGCAGTGACTTTTTAAAAACATGCTAAACAGACCATCAAAGACCTCCAGCATCGGTATAAGACGTCATCTCTTCAGTAGATCAGTCAAGGCCACCTTGATGGGTTCTGCCTTTCGTGTATTCGAAGAGGCAGCGTGTCTTTATTTTCTTAAACAAGCTGCCCGTCTCGCTCTAGCGTGGTCCGGTTCCTCTCCTGCATTCACACATTCTGTAGGCACATATGTAGAAAATACCTGCAACAGGCCGAGATGAGGCTTTGATCATCAAATATTCGAATGGTCGGATTTTAGGTATTTAATGGTAACTTAAGCAGTTATTGACTTTTGTAACTGGATGTCCTTTCTCACCTGCAAAGAAGGTCATGAGCATCGCCACCCAGCCGAGTATATATGACCAAGAGAAGCGCCAGTCACCGAATCGCTTTCCCAGGAAGTTGATTGTCACCCCGGTGTAGATGGCCATCGCCAGGAGAACAAAGAAAGCTGAGAAGGAGATTGGGATGCACATGTCAGTGATTCTAGTGTCATTATTACTGTTTCTGTTGGTGTGTTTTTGCCGACTCAAAAGAAAGACAACTCACTTGAGACAAAAAACATGATTCCTGCGGCAAAGGAGCGGTTGAACCTTTCAAAGGAGGAAAAGTGCGCAAAGGACATGATGCCAGCAATGATGCCTGCAAAGCACGACATCCCTGAAAGGATCATGAAGGCCCTGGTGGCATTCCAGTAAGCTGGGTGAAAACAGACAGAAATGAACAAGGCATGTATGACAGGATTGTTTTGATTGTTGAGCCAAAGAAATTCAATTGATTTTATTTCACGGCCATGTGAATATCAAAAAATGAAAAACAAACACATAAATGTACACACTCCTTTGATT